TCACAGGCAGCCCTGTGGTACTCCACACAGCAAGGTCAGTATTTTCATATGGAGCACAAACGGGTCAAAGGTCRTGACGAGATGGACCAAGCTGCATTTGCACTCAAGTCTGCCCAAGTTCAGCTGCCTGTCCTCTGCCCGACATCTGCCCCAGGGGCACTGTGGTTGCCAAGAGTTGCATCTTCTTCCGGCCTGACCTGTAGTTCCTCTCCCGGCGAGCCACGACTGACCGTGACTTGTGTGAATCTTCTAGAAATGACTAGGGAAGCTGTCTCCAAGCCCTAGGGAAGTTTTCTTCTTCCCCTAGCCACTGCCGTTTTGTTTCCTCCTGGATGGGAAGGAATGTGGGCAGCCCCACCCCACCCATCTTGCTGACTCCACTTTATGAGGGAGACTCAGGCCAGACAGGGACCTGGGAGTGGCAGCCCGGGGACCATGGTATTGGATCACCAGCATTTTCAGTATCTTCTTGGAAGCTGGTGAAAATCCAGACTCCTAGGTCCCTCCAAACCCTCTGGGGAGGGTCCAGAAATCTGCTTTTCCCAAGCTGCCCCAAAGATCCTGACTCATGCTAAAGTCAGCCCTGCAGAGGGAGGAAGGGGTGGACAGAGGGAAGCCTTGCCTTTTGGGTCCTGATTAAATGCTTTGTTAGAAGCTGAGCATGTGGACACCCTTGGGGTCCCACCAAGCCACCACCTCATCCTGAATTACCTGCTCAGATGCCAACTGCCAGCCAGGAATCACCTTCTCGCTGCCACTGTGGACCGTGGACTGGCCTCTGAGGCCCTGGGGGATTAACTGGCGGGGGCTGGGCCGTGTGCAAAGGATTAGCAGGTGCCAAAGGGAGGGGTGAGTGGAAAAGAGATGATTGATGCCCAGGGAGCCACAGCAATCCCCGAGTGTCCAGCAGGGACCTGGGTCTAAATTGGGGGCCCTATGGGTTGCCAGGGAACCTGCCCCRGTACCAGGGCCTGGCTCCCCTCATACCTTGGCCAAGCCACAGTCTGACTGGCTGCCAGAAGAATAACAGTTTGGAGTCCTGTGTGGTTCTGGGAGACTCCTCAAGGTGACAGGAACTTGTCAACTCGGTCAGCAGGAGCAGGAGGTGTACCCCTGCTGCCCAGCCCCAAGGCCAGGGTTCACAGTGTTGGGTTTTTTTGCTTGTTTGTTTGTTTTTTCCKGCTGTCTTCAATAGCTTGAGCTCTTCCAGAATGACAGGGTTCCAGGACTGAGACTTTAGATCAAATCTGCATTAGTAGGGTTTCTCCAGCGAAACTGAGCCAATAGATTATGAAGGCTCCGAACTGGGGAGGCCAAAGTCAGAGGCCTCAGTCTCAGGGAGACGTGGAGGGCAGCTTGTGCAAGTCTCACAGTTCAAGGGCCCAGCAAGAGAAGACACGCCCATGCAGGGAGGAAGGACCAAAGAATTCACCCCTTCCTTCTCGTCCCTGTTCCATTCAGGCCCTCGTCAATCGGATGGTGTCCCCGCACTAAGGGCCCATCTCCTCCACCTCGGTCACCCATATGCCAATCTTCTTTGAAACACCCTCMCAGACACACCCAGAAGTGGGCTTCACTGACTCTCTAAGCATCCCTAGTCCAGTCCAGATGACCCCCGGAACTCACCATCCCAGGATCCGAAGACTGGTGGACCACTGGCTGCATCTGATCTGAACTGAGCTGGACCCCAGAGGGGAGACAGAGACCTGGGGCTCCAGGGCTGCAGGGAACAGGGGCCAAGGGAAGAGGGAGGGGCTCAGCCAGGAGGCAGGACCTGGGTGGCAGATGGGGGCAGGCAGGGACTTGACCAGGTGCAACGTTTGGGGATCTCTTCCTGCCCTGGGCAGTGKCCAGCCCGGGCGTGTTGATCAGGACAGACTTAGGGCCTGCCCTCCTGGAGCCTGCGTTCCAGGGGAGGAGGAAGAGAAGGACAAATTAAGAAATATTGCCAAGTATGCCAGAGCCACCAAAGAAACCAACAGGACAGAGACGTGTCATGAGGGGCCCTGGGTAGGAGGCTCCAGGAAGAAGCAGATCTGTATGAGCTGAGACATGAAAAGCAAGAAGTCTCTACCCTGAAAAGATCACATGGGCGGTGCTCCAGAGAGAGGACACTGCCGGGGGATGAGTCCCCAGGCCAGAATGAGTCTGGAGGAGCAGAAAGGGCACCAAGGGGGCAGGGAGTCCYGTGGGCACAGAGGAGTGGGGAAGGGTGGGAAGTGGGCGGGTGAGACCCCATAGGGCCTCTTGGCCACAGAAGGGTTTGGTTGATGGACCGTGGAAGTCCATGCCTGAGCTCATTGGAGCTGCTCAGCAGAACCCCTGACACTGGGTAATTAATAAACCACAGAAAGGTATGGCTCCCTGTTCCAGAGGTTGGAGGCCCATGGGGCAGCAGATTTGGTGTCTGGTAAGAGTTTGCTCCCTACAGATGGTGCCTTCCATGTAGCCCCTAAAGGAGGGGTGAGCAAGCTCTCTCTGGCCTCTTTTATGAGGGCCCCGCCCCCTTCATGAGGATGTAGCCCCCTGCCCAATCACCTCCCGGAGGCCCCACTCTCACCACTGTTGCATGGAGCTTAGGTTTCAGCATAGGGATTCTGGGGGGCTCACACATGTAGACCCTGTGGTGGTGYTGAACACAAATTGGGCAGAATATGTGTGGCTGTTGTGTAGTAGGCAGGTGCGGGAGCTGGAACTGCTGAGGAAGTCCAGCCTGAAGAGGGACAAGCTAATCTGTGAGTAGGTGACCCCTGGGTTTCCCCCCTCCAATGTGGGCGCTTCAGGACTTCTGATAGGCAACACCCTCCCGAGGCCAGGACAAGGACAAACCCAGTGGCACAGTTCAAGGTGACCCCTGTCCTCCCCCCATAAACATGCCAGGCTGCTCCTCCRCACAGCACCTCCAACAGGACTCTGCAGGAACAGGAACTCTTCCGCCCGCCTGGGCTGGTGAGTGGTCACCTGCGTAAGCAGTGATGGGGACAGACGTCAGAGCTTGGACTAGGCTGGTGGCAATAAAGATAGGAGGAGGGGAAGGGAGGTGTTGGTTGGAGGGGAAGGGAGGTGTTGGTTAAGCTCGGGCAACTGGCAACTTTTACCAAAAAATGAGAGCCTGGGTCTGGAGGTGAGGAGGAAGAGTTTGGAGGAGAAAACCACTTCAGATTCGTTAAGTGCAGTAGGTAATGAAGTGTGTGTGTGTGTGTGTGTGTGTGTGTGTGTGTGTGTGTGTAGACACCCCAATGGTCCATGTATGCAAAGTTCAAGAGGTGAATGACCTGCAAATAGACCTAATAATACCATAAAGGAAAGCAGCGGTTACACTACAAGATGGGAACAGTTGCTTCTGGATGCCTTCCATGTAGCCCCTGAAAGGAGGAGTGAGCAATGTGACCCGTGAGGCTTGTTGGACACGTGGAGCACGCCTGGGATCTCAGGGACCCCGGAGGCTGAGGCAGGAGGGTCCCAAGTTGAAGGCCAGCCTCAGCAATTTAGTGAGACCTTGTCTCAAAAGATAAAAAGAATCTGGGATGTAGTTCAGAGGTCGAATGCCCCTGGGTTCTGTCCCCAGTACTAGGGGGAAAATGTGGGGCTTTTGAGTCTGGTTTCATTATGTCGCTTGTTTTTGAGGTTCACCTACCTTGGAGACGTAGACTTCATTTTAGTGCCCGGAGCTTTCCAGGTATAGGCACGCCACGGTTTGCCTATCAACTCATGAATCTGCAGATACCAGGCTTAGGTCTACTTTTTGGCTATAAATTATGATGCTATGGGGGCTGGGGTTGTGGCTCAGCCGTAGAGCACTCAGGACGTGCGAGGCCCTGGGTTTGATCCTCAGCACCACATACAGATAAATAAATAAAATAAAGGTACTGTGTCCAACGACACCAAAAAATTTTATTAAAAAAATGATAAACATTGGCATGGATATACACATTCACTTCTCTTGAGACAGTCCCTAAGGGTAGAGTCTTCCATATGATCCCATCGCACTGCAAATTGATGTTTCACTTCATAAGAAAATGCTTAACTGTTTTGCAAAATAGTAGCCCATGTCTTGACCTGGGTAGGGCTTATAGGAGAGTCTCAATTTATAAGTTACTTCTGGTTAAATTATATATTGATGTACTTTCTTAATTTCTTTTTTTATAACTATAGAAGGATTAAAAAATAAATTGGGGGTCGTGGTGGTGAATGGAGTGAACTCTGGGAGTTTGAACTTGGGGATGCTGCTCTGGGGTCTCCCTGAACCATGAGGCTGGAGCAACTGTGAACCAAACTCTACACAAATCTAAGCAGGAGTCCTAGGACCCATCAGGTTCAGAACCTGGGCAGGTACATGCAAAGCATATGCAAATATATGCAAAGTAGTTCAGCTCTACCTGTTTCCCTCACCTGGGGGGGGGGGGTCCTGGTCCCAGAGCTTTAAGGAGCGAGGCTCAGGCACTCACAGCCTGACCTTCCTGGGAGGGAGGAAGCCTGCACCCCTGCAAGCAGCTGGGGATGGAGTATCACCTGCTAATCCCCAGCCTGCTGAGGCCACCACTCTCCCTGATCCCCACAATGACCCTGGATACTGGCCACAGCTAATCTCTACCCTGAGGCCAACGGCTGGTAGACAGCACAGTGCACCCTTCCTGAAGTTGGCAGGAAGGAGAGGGCCCTCCCAGCTCCCAGGCGCCCCTAATGCAGASTCTAGGATGCTTGCCTATTCAGACAGGAGCCTTGAGGCCCAGAGAGAGACAGAACCTAGTCCAGGGTCACACAGCCCGGGGTGGGCTCAGCAGCCATCCTGGGTCTGCCCTGGCCCGGCTGTCTCCAGGGATCCCCAGCTCCCTCTCTGACATTTCCCAAGATGCCTGGCTTGTGCTAAAGCTGGGGAAAGCCTAACCTTCAGGAAGGCTAAAAGGAAGTGCCCAACACATAGGGACCCTGGCAGCGGGCCCTTCTCAGAGCCTGCGGTTGCCAAGGAGCAGTGTCCTCACAATCAGACTGGAGTGGGCGTTGTCTCTGCACAGAGTTTCTTTATTCTGCTGTCCACGGGCCTGGCCTGCCTCCCTTCCTCTCCTGCCCACTGAACGGTCAGAAGAGCAGCGAGTCCTTAAAGCCCTGTGCACCAGGCCTGTGCCCTGCAGATGAGGTAGTGGCTGTCAGCGGGTCAGAAGTGGGGTACCCTCTGCTCTCCTCTAAGGGCTCCACTTCCCTGCCCTTCCCCACCTCCTCGAGGCAACTTCCTATGCCGCGTCACCATGCCCTCCCTGTCCCTCCATGGCCCACCGTCCCCTCTCCTCTGGCCCACCTAGCTCCCACCTCATCTCTCACCAAGAGAAATTGAGCTAAGTCAACAAATTCTCACTAAAGTGTAAATGACTGAAAAGAGATTCTGGGAATATCTGCTATTTGGGGTGGGGGACACTTGGTAGCCAGCAATGATTTTCTAGTGCATGTGTCATGTCTCTCCTCGTGTTTAAAGTGGTTCTATGTCTCTCTGTAAAATCTGGGGTAAATGCCAGATGCCTTAGACAAGGAAATTCAGGATGGGTCACCCAGAGCCATACAGCATTCTGAGTCACACTCTGAACTCACTTTCTTCACCTTTTCCTGTTCACTACTTAATTCAAACACCGCATCTTCTAGACCATTGCTTGAATGCCCCAACTCCAGCCTCCCCAGACAGACAGACAGACATACACCCTACACTGACCTCACAGCCCCCTAGAGCAGCTTGTGTGTGTATCTGCACACGTGTGCATGTGTGTGCATGAGTGTGAGTATGTGTGTTGAGTGTCCCTGCCACCACACGTGGAACTCTGAAAAATYACCTGGCACAGAGTAAGTGCTCAATAAACCCTTGACTAGTAGACAATCAGCCCAGGCTAAGGTTGTCCCCCCACGGAAGGTCGTTACCTGGCATGAGCCCGGGGAGCCTTTCATGTATACGCTTTGCTCCGCAGCTATGGCCCGCATCATCGACGTGGTGCCCTGGGACGACGGTACTGCCCACRTGTATGCATCCCCGGCCATCGTGCTCCCCATACCGCGGCAGCGCCAACCGCTGGCCGGCGTGAAGCAGCAGCTCTACCACCCGGYGCTGCCCACCCTGCGCCGCATGGACATGGACTCCGTCAAGGCCTGCCTCCCGGATGAGCACTGCCAGTCCACCACCTACTGCCGCAAAGGTCAGGCCGCCTCTCCTCCCACCAGCACTGGGCCCCCCTGGGGCCTTTGCAGAAGGGGCAGGTCGGCAAGGAAAGAAATCTTGGAGGGAAAAGTCACGCGTGGCAAATGAAAGGGTTAAAAGGGCCAGTCTCGGCTGCTCCCTGTCCARAAACCTCCATTAAGCTCTGACCKCTGTTTCCTTATTTATAAAGTGGAAACGATGACCAGGGCCGCCTGCCTCACAGAGCTGTTGACGCTGGGAAGAGATGAGGCGGGAAAAGCACGGAGAGCCACAGCTCGCACATAATATGTGCTCAACAAAYGTGATTGCTGGGTCCGTTGTGAGCGTCCTCTAAGTTTTAAGGGAACAACGTTGATTTTAGCGCCCAGTTCTGGAGGGGCTAGGTGAGGGGCTGCATCTGGTGATGCCCTTCTTGTTGGCAGAGTGTGAGGTGGGGCAGGGCATGGTGAGGGACAGAGTCTAGGTGCCCGCATGCCTCTTATGGCTCTTATTAATGAAGACAGAACTGGGCAGAGATCAGAACGATCACGCTGGTGACAAGGATGACTTCTGCCTGCCCACCCCTGTGTCGGGGAAAGGGAGAGACAGAGCCTTCACACCTCCCATGGAGGCAAGGTCAGGCGGGCCTGCAGGGGCAAAGGGCCCCCAAGGACTGAGAGGGCTTTAGGAGATAGGTCAACGGGACTGGGCGCCAGGGTGGGTGCAAGAGGAAGGGGGAGGTCCAGGTGATACAGAGGTCCCTGCTGGGGTGGCTGGTGGGTGAGGATGTCCGAGCTTACACCGAAATCTCTGGAGACCCACCCTGACCCCTGCAACCAAGATGAGAAACATCGTTGAAGGGAGCAGCGGGGGCCAGCCCCTCTGGTGAGGAAGAGCACCCACATGGGTCCCATCCAGAGGGCTCCGGCTCCCAGACTCCCACTGACTGGGCTGTGTGCAGAGAGTCCGAGAGATCACGGTTCTCCTAATTTCCTGCTTCCAAGGGAAGCCAGGAATTTCGATTTTTAGGGAAAGCCCTGATTTGGTTCTGTATTGTAAGCATATRCAGTGCTGGGGAYGGACCCCAGGCCCTTGGGCATGGTGGACAGGGCTCTTCCACTGAGCTACACCCCAGCCCTAAAACTCAAAACGCTACAACAGTGAGTACATTGACACCCCCTTACAGGTGGCCACTCTTGGCTTCTGGTGTACCTTTCTGTTTACTAATGCAAACACAAACATGCATTCTATTGTCTTTGTTTGTTTGTTTGTTTTTTGAAGAGACAGGATCTCACTCTGTTGTCCAGGCTGGCTCTGAATTCCAGGGCTCCCACCATCCTCCTGCCTCAGTCTCCCAAGGAGCTGGTACAGGCATGCTCCTGTGCTTATTGTTCCCTCAATTTTTATTATGAACATTTTCAAAGTTTAAAGAATAGTACTACGAGCACTCATTACTTTCTATCTGCGTTAGTCAATGTTTTACCATATTTGAATCCCGCCCCCCCTCTACACACACACACACACACACACACACACACACACACACACACACAGTCTACCAAGCAGCTCCCAATGATAACAGCCTTCTACGTGACACAATATCGTTATCATACCAGGAAAGTTAATAACAATTGTATAACATTTTATAACCAGTCTACATTAAAACTTCCCTAATTACCTCCCAAAGGTGTCTTTTATAACTTAAAAAAAACAAAACAAAAAAAAAAAACAGACAGGGGCTTCTACCTAGGAATGTGCATTGCAATTGGTTTTTATGTCTTTAGTCTTAGCATAAGACTATCTAACTGTTTTTCTTTTCTTTTTTTTTAAATTTTTTTTTAGTCATACATGGGCATAATATCTTTATTTTGTTTATTTATTTTTACGAGGTGCTGAGGATCACGCATACGAGGAGAGTGCTCTACCACTGAGCCACAACCCCAACCTGATTTCTATCTCTTTTTCATTCCCCGCTGTGATATTGACTTTTAAAAAGTTCCCAGCAGTTGTGGGACACAGTGCCTGATGGTATTTGAGCAGCTGTTCCCTCATGGTGGTCTTTACCCTGCTAATCTATTTTCTGCGGATCAGTAGCTAGACCTAGAGGCCTGATAGGCCCATGAGACAGTGCTGGCCAGAATCGTCCACAGGTGATGGGCACCATGTTTCCCCTAGAGTGGCTGCAGGAGGCAGACAGTTATCCTGCTGTTCATGCTGCTGAGTTTGATAATTTGTTTAAGATGATAACCAGAATGTGTTTTCTTCTCTGCCTCCAAGAATCTTAAACTTTAGGCTCTAAACAGGCATTTGTATACAGTAACTATTCTTTTGTACCTTGGAGGTTTTGTCCAGAGGATATCCTCAGATTTTTTCTTTTTTTTGAAAAATATTTTCTTAGTTGCTTATAGACCTCGAATGAATGAATGAATGAATGAATTTATTTATTTGTGATGCTAAGAATCAAACCCAGTGCCTCACAGATGCCAAGCAAGTGTGCTACCTCTGAGTCACAGCCCCAGCCCCTCAGATTTCTTTGAGTAGCTGCACAGTGTGGATGTAGTGTAGTTTATTGACAGTCCTTGAATTATCTCCAATCATTTGCTATTACAAAAATACTGAAATGGGTTACCCTCTTCTTACATCTGCACTTGTGCCTTTCTGGGGATAAATTCTCAGAAGTAGGACTACGGGGTCAAAAGCATTTGTTTATTTATAATTCTGATGGAAAATGCCAATTGTTCTCTGTAGGCTCCAATAAATGTATACTCCCTCTGGCAACATATGTCAAAGGCCCCATTGCACTAACTTTTTGGATTATTCCCAGTCTGAGAAGTAAAGTTGGTATCTTCGTGTAATTTGGATATGTATTCATCTTATTATAAATGAGGCTCAGCATCTTTTCATGTTTAGGGGTCATCTGTAATTCTTATATTTGTGTATGGGCTGTGTATGCTTTTTTACCCTTTTTTTTTTGGTCTTTATTTCTACTCTTTGCCTTTCGTCTGTAAAATTAGTAAAAAAATWAATTTCCATTTGCCTTTCGGCTTCTTTTCTATTTTGCTATGCAGAAGTTTGTTTTTATGTAGTCAAGGTTGTTGATTCAAAGTTGCTGATCTTTTCTTTAAGTTCTGGCTTTCTAGTTAGAATTAGGCCTTTCCTGCCCCAAATCTAGAGGAACTTGCCCACATTTTCTTCTAGTATTTCTATGGTTTCATTTTTCTTTTTTTGCACTGAAATCTTTTATCTATTTGGGAGCTTATTATATTGTAAGAGGTGAAGATAGAAGTACTAGTTTATCTTAGATGTTTAAATCCATCCAGTATTAAAAAAAAATTAATGCACAGTGTGGGCCAAACCTCTCTTGCATGAACATGGGACTGCTACTGAAGGAGAAGTCTCTTCTCYCTTTATCTTCTTTCAACAGATGAGTTTGACAATGCCCACTTCACACTCCTGGGGATCCCCAATCAACCCCTGCATTGCCTGGTGAGTGTTGTCCCTAACCCTGGGTTTGCAAAAGGCACAAGCCTGCACCCAGTCCCAAGCACCTCTAGGCTCTACTCCCTAAGCATATCCTCAGCTACCTGTTTGGGACCCCCTCCACCACCATCCAATCCGGGTCTCCAACCTCAAGCACACCCCGGGTCAGAYGGGTCAAGTGTCAGCTCTGGGCTATGAGATGATCCAAGAAGACACCCCCCCCCAAGTTCCTGTATCTACTGCTGTGCTCCTGACCCCCGCCAAAACCCTAGCAGGACATGACRCCCACTGGCCAGAAGCTCTGCTGCAAGTACCGTGAGGGAAAGCTGCTGCCCATCGTACCAGGCATCAACCGGATCGACTGGCCCTCCTTCACCAGTGCCATCGAGGACTGGTCCCACTTTGTGTCCACGGCTGGGGAATTCAAGCTGCCCTGCCTGAACAACAAGGGTGAGTCTCCCAGCTGCAGATGACACCTATGGTTGGGGGAGATTGTAGGGCACTTGGGTCATTGCTGTAGCAGGGAGAGAGGACCACTGGCTGCAAGTGGGCAACCGCAGGGACAGARTAAGGGAGCTGGGGAGCAGCTGGGACGCCTACAGCAAGCATGACAGAGGGCGGCTGAGGGACTTAGAGGCCGCGCTCATCTTGGGGAAGGAGCAAGGGGCAGGGCCAGGCCAGGGGGAGCAACCGGGCTGGGCCTGAATGCTGAGCTGGTTCTGGAACTGGGTGCCAGGTCCGAAGACCCACTTTGTCCAGCGCTGGGCAGTGGAGGTGAGGCTTGCTCTGTGGGCGGGGCTTAGATGGGGAAGGGTGGGGCTCGTCGGAGCTGGCGGGGGTGTCCAAAGTGGGCTCTTTCCTCAGTGGAGAGGTTCAGCGGCTACGCCGTGCGGTATTTGAAGCCGGATGTGACCCAGAACTGGAGGGTAAGGGAGATGCTCGCTGACCGGTCCCCGGGGATCCTGATGGGTGCAGCTAAAGCAGAGGAGATGCGAGGGATAGGGAAAGTGGGGACGGGGTGGAGGGACGGAGAGCCAAGTTCTCACAGTCCCCAGGGCTCAGATCTCCAGTAGGGAACGCTGTGGGGGCTGGGTGGGTGCCCGAGGTCCCCGGTTTACCAGCGCCCCATCCCTGTGGCCCGCCCCAGTACTGCCTCAACCAGAACCCCAGTCTAGACCGCTACGGACAGAAGCCCCTGCCTTTCGACTCCCTGTAAGTGATGCTACGAACCCCGGGACCTCCACCCGGAGGAKGGAGGGTGGGATCTCAGCCCCTTTCCTAGTACACACAAGGGCCCARTGGCGCTTGAAACTGTGAGACCTGGGAGGTATTAAGTGGTTCGAATACAGCACACGAAAATCGTAATTTCAAAATGAATAAATATTGAATTCGTACCAAACGGAGCACCTTGTCATCCCCGGCAGCTTCACTCTTTTGGAGTGGAGGCGTTAAGCGGGACGAAGGGCGACGTGATTATTTCGGTTTGCTGGCGGGGAGCGGGGCCCCCTGCACCCGGGGCTCACCCTCCGCGTCCTTTCTCAGGAACACGTTCCGGCGCTTCGGCTCCAAATACAGGTAGGGGACTGGCCACGCCCCTGCCCGCAGCCGGCCACGCCCAGGTCGGCAGCTAGGGCCGCGGGGGCCAGGGCCGGGAGGTTTCCGCCCACGTCCAGATCCCCCAGCCCTCCACCCTCTGGGCCCAGCGGAGGAGGGGCTAGCTGCTGGGCTCCCTAGAGATCCGAACCTGGCCAAAGCTCAGCTCCCTGGGGACTGGGGTGGGCGTGGAAAGGAGCTCAGACGCTGTCAGGATTGGCCCAGAAGAGGCCGGAAAGAGGAGGGCATTACCTGGGAGGACTGAACGGAAAGAAAGGGCCAAGAATCTACCTTCTAGGATGCGGGCAAGTGGGAAGGGAGGGTGCTTCACCCCTTGAGACTCAGAGATGGGAATGAGAACGGGAGTGCTGCTGCGAGCTGTTCTAGCATCTCCAGGATATGGCTGTCTCCAGCCTTGCTTTGTGCACTTCAGCAATATCAGGCTCTTTGGTGTGCCCAAATCCACCGGCGCGACCAAAACCTCTTCCAAAGCTTTTCTTGTCCTGTATCAGAGCCTAGATGGGCCTTCCTCCCCTGTCTGGAAAAGCCTTCCTCACTCTTTGAAGGCCACCCTGGTTGTTCCACCCCCACCTGGAAGTCTTTCCTGAGCCTCTGCCTTTCCCACCAGCTCACACTCCCTCCATTTGGTCATCGCCTGGGCATCCCTACCCCTTAGCACCCAGTGGGCTGCATTCGTTATTGATGGAAAGTTGCCCACCCCCTCCCCCTGCACCCACAGGGGGAAGCGTTCTGCTCTTACCACTGTATGATGCCTAACGGAGTAGGTTTGTTAAATGACTGAAAAATTAGGGAAGCAGTACATATTTGAGGGTCTTGGGAGATAAAAATGAGGTGAGGGAGGCAAATTTGAAAACCAAGAAAAATCAAAAATAAATTAAAGGAAATAGGGAGCTATTAAAAGCTCTTGGGCCACACAGAGGCTGGGGGAAAACTGTCTTCAGAGACTTGAGGGTAGGGAGGTGGGTTTTGGGGAAAGGCCTGGAGGAAAACCGACCGATTTTTCTTGAGAACACCCTGGAGACCTCCACTTCATCCCTGTTTCTCTCCACAGCCGCGTCAACTACCTGACTCCCTGGCATTAATCTATGAAAAGGAGGCCAACCCCCAGACTGCTGAAATGTGCCACCTCAGGTCCCCCAGTGGGACAGAGGGCAAATGGTGGCACCACTCATCTCCCCAGAAGTTCAGCCTGGCTAGAAATAAATTTAATGCTCACTAAATGCATGTGTGTGTGTGAGTGTGTGTGTGTGTGTGTGAGTGTCTGGGAGGGGGTTGTTACAGAGGCTGGGAAAGGGTCAGGACCACAGGATGACCACATCTTACCTTTACCTTCCTGTCCCCTGCCGACTCCTGTAGGACCACTGGGAAACTGGAGTGGGATGTTTGGTGACCTTGGGTAAGAATGTCAAGGTCTAAGCCTCCAGCCCATTCAGGCAGGCCTGGGAATTTCCTCATGCACCTGTTCCTTGCTCGTAGCCCTACACCCAAGCCCCTTCACCTCAGATCCTGAATTTGAGTCATAAGGAGAAAGGGAGGGTGTTAGAGATTTGTTGGTGCCTCTTTCTGAAGCGCTCAGAATGGTCCAAAAACGAGGAGCTAAAAAATTCTTCTTGAGCCCCTGGTCTTGCATGCAATAGGTACTCAGCAAATGTCAGTGGATAAAGGAGGAGAGGATGTGAACCAGGGATTCCTAACCTTGTGGGCACTGGCTTTCCTGAGAATCAGATGAAAAGAATGAACCTTCCCATGGAAAATAAGCACTCAAGTGCACACAGAATTTTGTGCTTGATTTTAGAGGGTGTGTGGATCCCTGAAGTCCCTGAGCCCAGGACCAGAAGAGAGTTCCTAAGATTGGTGGCTATTTGCCCCATTCTGGGCCTGATACTGCTGTCTGTCCACAGGTAGGGTGGAATGGGGTTGGTGACGTGTCTGGAAGGTCCAGGCACTAGCTTGTGAGCTGCCCTGACTCCTGAGCCAGGCTGAGGAGCTGCTTCCCTAGCCCCTTGGAGCAGGGTGACCTTGTACTTGGGCCACAACATCATACCTTCCTTTTACAGAAGGGGCTTAGGGTTTGGAGGTTGCTGGGCAGGGAGGGCTAGTCCTACCTCCTTGTGGGTAGAATAAACAACTTTTTACTTAGATGATGTTTATTGTGTCTTGGGGAGCAAGGACTGTCCTCATCTCAGGCACCTCATCCAGGTTTATATTCCATGTTCTGTTGCTTCACAGGAAATGGATGCCATAGGCCTCGCCAGCCTCCCAGAGCCTGCCTCTACTTTAGGGAATCCCTGGGTGCCAGGAAGCCCCCCATACACTGGTATGGTGAGCGGTTCAGAAAGAGGCACCAACAAATCTCTATCACATTATCATTGGGACTAGTTTTTTCTCTGGGCCTCACAAGCACCCTAGTGAGTGAGTTGAACCAATGCTGCCTATTTCCCAGATAGAAAAAGAGAGGCCCAGATCAAGCAGGTAGTCGGCCAAACCCAGAACCTAAGTCTCATGTCCCAGCACTTGGCACAGTGTCCACATATGGTTTGTGCTCAACTTTTGTAGGAAGAAATTCTTTCCCAGATCGTGATCTTTCTGCTTAACTTTGGGTAATAAATAAGAAGATGGGTTGCATGTGGTTTGATCTGCAGAATCTGCCTTTTAGAACTGAGGCTGATTTTAATTTCTTTCAGGCGTGGAAGTGACAGTCATTGCCCTCACACTGAGATGAGGGACCATGGTGCCATCTTTCTATGCTAAAGTGTAGGCTCTGCTGACAACAGAGCAGGAGACTGGAGCCTGGGCAGGAACAGACAGGAAATTGTACAGACATCACAGAGCCTCTTCTTCCTCAGGGGCCTGCTGAAGATGTACCCAGCCTCCTGCCACTCATCCAGAAGTCCTTTCCTACAAGCTCAGAGGACAGTACATGCTGACTTCTACCTTGGGAATCCATTCACAGAGCCCGCTGGGGTTCCGGGGCCACCCAGCACCAGAATCCCCTCCAAATGCCAGAGAAAAGATGGATTTGCCCAAGGCTCACAACAGAGACACTAGAGTCTTGGGTGACAAGGGACACTAGTCAGCTCTAGGGAGCATGCTGAAACATATAAAAGGGAATCAAGTGACTGGGTTTTATTCCTGGCCCCACCTCCTGGTGAGCAAGTCCATCTCAAAATGAGGCCCAGCATATGTCTATGGCCTTTGCCTGGGCCAGCTCTGTGCTGGGTGCTGGGGTGGCACAGACAAGATGCCATCTCTGCCTCTGGATGCTTCTCATCCAACGGGAGAAACCAATGGGCCCAGCTGGTGCAAACCAGAACCATGTTCCTCCAGCCCAGGATGCCATGGACAGTAACCCAGCCCAGAAACTTGATTACAGGTTCTTGCCCACCGGTTGTACACTTAATCCTGATTTCATAAACATAAGAAAAAGCGTGCCTAAGAATAATGGAACTAGAGAGTAGAAAAGCATAAACACCTGATTAAGTGTCCACTTCCTATTCTCAAGTGGAAGGCAATACAGTGAGGGCTTTGCAGGCCCCGTTCAACAGTTGATGAAATGGACTTGGAGAGGTTAAGTGACTGGCACGAGATCACACAGGTGGTGACTGGCAGAGAAGGGAATTGAAGCCAGCCTGTCTGGTCCCCCGCCTGTGGTCACCACATTCCACTGCTTTCTTGCTGAGAGGGAAGCCAAGAGTGGGCAGGAAGTCAGAGGGGGCTTCCTGGGGCTGGGACATCTGACTAGAGTTTAGAAGGAGGACGGGATGTCTCATCAGAAAGCTCTCTGAAGCTGGGCATGGTAGTGCCCCTAATGTCCTATTGGGAGCTATTTGGGAGGCTGAAGCAGGAAAATCACTGGACCCAGTGATTGATCCCAGGACCAATCTGTCTCCAAAAGAAAACAAAAAAAATCAGAAAGCAAGCAAGCTAGCTCTGGGTGGCTGCTGATGGCCACTATCTCCCATCCTCCTCCTCTTCTTAGCCTCTGGGGTTCCTTGTTCTTCATAAAGCGGATCATATCAGAAAATCAGAAGTTTTCATTACAGACAAAATCTTGAGGAGAGTCCAGCCACCCTGACCTGGCCTCAAGGCCTTCCAGGCCTGACCCCAATTCAATACCCTGATCCTTTTATACCAAAATAAACCCCACCTGCCTCCTCACCGTCCCAAACACCCAGGCTCTGTATGCCTCCAAAACTTGGTTCACAAGTATCCTTCCACAAGAAACGCTTTCCCCACCTCTTCCTACCCAAAGCTCACACTTTCTTTCTGACTAGTCAACCTTCCCCAAGTCCATGAAAACAAACACTGCAGCTGTTCAGGGGACTCACTCATGCCCTCTGGCCCACAGTGGACTTGCCTGCCTCTTATCTTTATAACCGGGGCTGAGGGATTAGGGCTTGGAGTCACCCAGAGCCAAAACACTGATCTGGATTAAGTGAAATAACTACAACAAAGTAACAGTGGTGTTTAATACAAAATAACAGGTACAACACACATCACAGTCCAGGGCTGGGGCTGGCTCTGGGACAGGTTTAGGAACTAGATGAGGATTCCAGCTGAGGGTAGGATGGAATGAGGGTTGGGGGGACTTTTGCATAGCATATTTTATACTAGATATTTTTTGGTACCAGGGATTAAACCCAGGGGTGCTTAACCACTAAGCCACATCCCCAGCCCCTTTTTATGTTATATTTTCAGACAGGGTCTTAATAAGTTGCTTAGGGCCTTGCGAAGTTGCTGAGGCTGGCTTTGAACTCAAGATCCTGCTGCCTCAGCCTCCGGAGCCATTGGGATTACAGGTGTGTGCCACCACACCCAGCAATTTTGACATTTTTTGATCCTACTTTTTGATTCATGAAAACGCCAAACCCTCTCATCTGAAGTTCTTGCTTAGTGCCCTGTTGCACCCTCTGGCAAATAGCGGGTGCTCAGTAATGCTTGTGGATGAACAAACGAAGGAGTGTAGACCGAGGGAGGGGATGGAGTAGTTTAGTGAAGATGAAGACTCCACAGCCCCCCCCCCACTTCTTTGCAGGATATTCTGGTTGGAATCTTTGTAGGTTTGAGAAAATCAATAGCAGCCAAGGCTCTTCCTGGAGGCGTGACCTTCAAGGAACAAAGAAACCACTTGCTTAAGGGTTGAATGCGGAGCTTGTCACCAGAGTCGGAGCTTGTCACCAGAGTCTGACCAGGAGGCCTTGGGCGAATTTCTGTGGCCTGAGCAGCCCATGGTCTCACCTGAGGCCTGCTCTGGAGGAAGACAGAGGGGTAGTGGGATGGGAATGGAGACCAAGAGATAACCTGTATGTCAGTGCCCAGAGGTGCAGGCTGTCTATGGAGTCGCTGCCTCTGCACAAATGGGAAGGTGGAGCCTAGTAACTGCAATCCCTCAGGCAGCTGAGCAGGCTGGGAGGCTGGCACCCCTGGCCTGCTGGTGAAGAGCTGTCCTGCTCCTTTGGCCAGACAGGGCAGCAGGACCAGTCCTGGCCATTGTTCCCAGCTTCCTGGCCAGCTGAAGCCAGAGTCCCAGGCATCAGTGACCAGAGCTAGAAGCTTCAGTTGTTCAGGGCCTCGGTTTCTGTCATTCACCAGTGTGCAGGAACCAGGTTCATGTGACAGTACCCCCAATTCCAGGCCACTTGCATCATTGTGTGGCTTTGAATAACCCATTGGCCTGCATAAAGGGAATATTCAGGCCCATCCTGCTCCCCAGGTAGATGGGTTTTGCTTAAGGTCACACAGCTAGAAAGTAAGCTGCGACTCGAGCCTGGTACAGACGCAAACGGCAGTGGTCATCCCCTTGCTGAGAGATAGAGGCAGCAAGAAGGAATCCCACAGCTTCTTAAGGGTGGGGTGTGCCCCGGGCCACATGGAATAAGAACAGAGGATCCGGGTCACATCCAAGGCCCCAGCCTTTCACTAAGCTTCCTATTAAGCTTCCAGACTTTTAATCCTTTGAAGTATAGGTAGCTCCTCCTTTTAACTTCTACACTTACCTTCTACCCAGGGCAGGGTACCCTTGCTAGCTTTCTCCCCGCCTCTGCCCAGCCCCATCTTTGCCTCTGAGAAATGGAAAGAGCCT